GATTTGTTAATTGTGGATGGCGTGTTTCTTTGTTGAGTGTATGGTGTTGCCTGCAGGTGCAGTGATGTGGACATGAATTTCCCCCTTGGAGGACAATAAATTGAATTTATTGATTGATTGATATTCAAATTAAAAAGCCCAAAACAAAATGCACTAAAAGAAAACAGGACATTAAAATAAGATTCAAAGGATCAAAGTTCAGACTGAAAATCTTTGCATTTATTCAAATCATTACCACATTGAGGACATTGGTATAAGTGCCATGAGGAAACCATATCCTCACGTCTTTTTCTTTTAGAGACCCTCTATTATTTATCAGTACAAATGAACTTGGTGAAGAAGGAAAGGTGTGCTGCTGGTCTGTTGTACAAAGGCGCCCTCTGGTGGTTCAGCAAAGACAAAAAGTCAGAATTCCAAATAATTCATCCTTACACCAATAGGAGATGGGAAAATGATTGAAATGATACAAAAATTATAGCGTTTGTGTATCAAAAGGCGCAAACTAAACAACACATAATAAAAATAACATTTAAACCAAGGTTTAAAAACACCACCATTAATCTTTTTTCTAAATATATACAAGAACACACACAAAAGGGATTATGAAATGATTATTAAAAGCTCTGTTATACATTCATTAGAGGTTGTAAAAGTACACACATTCTTTACTCAAGCAGAAGTACAGATACTTGTGTAAAAATACTCTGATAAAAGTAGAAGTACTGATTCAACTGCTTTACTCAATAAAAATAACCACAGGCTCTGCAATGTACTTGAAGTATAAATATAAAAACTACTCTCCTCGTTTCTCTGAAGGATATTTCTACCTTTCTGCGCAAAATTAACAGAAACTTCAAAACGGGGAGTCACCCTCTCTCGTTTGTTTCGTCATGTCATGCGTGATATGCATCGTTATTGATGTAGGGAAGGCGTGCAATGACACAAAAGACATTTATTCCCCTCACATGCATTAAAAACTAAAGTAACAAGCTTGTTTTGAAGGAGTAGAAAGTACAGATTTGGGTGTAGAAATATAGGGAGTGAAACTAGTATTTGTACTTTCTTACTTCCCATTTCTATAACTCATGGTGGCACCTGTATATTTATATATATGCCACACAATATTACTCCTATGGAATCATCTGTGGATTGATAAAGTTATATGGCTGTTGATTCAGGTAAACCCTTTGAAAATGATGGATAAAATATGTTGGTCAAGCTAAAAACAAGCCTTACAGGCGTTCAACAAAATGCTTATTCTCTGGCTTGCTTAGAGTTAGATGATACAATCAACAGGGATTAAACACACAAGATACAACTTGAATTACTTAGCTTTCGAGGTGTTGGTATAGTTATTTTTGAATTTTGGAAAAAGCTCAGTTAACAATTTCCCCCCTGCTTTCAGTCTTTATGCTGAACCAAGCTAATTGCCTCCTGGCTCCATACTTAATGCATGAAGATGAGAGTAATAATCGTCTCATCAAATTCTCTGCTTTTCACACACACACGTTCACTGCTTGTAGTTTAGCACCCCGTGGGAAGACGTACAACAGCAACAGCTGTATGTACAGAACATTGCAAATAAACTGTTGCAGATATCTTTCACATGCAACATATCCAAGTAACTTTGATGACAGACTGACATCAGTGCAATATCTGATAACCTTGGTCACACTGTAGGTGCCTCTAGACTGATTCTAGATAAGAAAATCTGACAGATGCATTGTAAACTTTGACATGTCAATATTGTCCCTGAGATGTTGACATAATGGTGCCAGAGGTGGAGCAATAGTAGAACAAAATGATATCTTAGTCATTGACCTAGCTAATGAATAACCAGTATAGCTCCATACAACTGACACAGCTGGCTGGGAAGGTAGCTTCATTTGAAAGGTTGATTTTTTTTTTTCTCTCTATAGAGTAATTAGCGTAATTCAGTTACTACACGCTGGCTGTGTGTTCTCCATAGAAGCCAAACGGAGCATATGGATGAGGAGACTGCAGCATAGTTCAGCACACAAGGAGTGTCAAGACTCCAGTGTGGTTTCTTAGCAACAGTACACAGCAGGATATCGCTCCCTATCATTGTCTATACATGAATATAAAAAAACAAAGTCATTTAATACATGAATATAGTTCAGTGCACTGATTTTACCGGCTACAAATTGCTCTGAGTGTGATTAAAGCAACGCATTCATCCACATCTCACATTAACGGCGTTGAGAAAATATGTGCTGCCTTAAACTGATGCTACATTTGACACATGGCATGTGCCTCGAATGCAATGACAATACAACCCGAATCTTAAAAGGATTACTTTATGTATGTCACAATGGCCACACAGGTCCCTGAACATCTGTAAACCCTCAAGAACACAGTAACTGTAAGCACTTCAGCATCAGAGGTTACACTGTATCCTCTGCTGATGTTCTTGATGGAGAGGTGGTCAGCGTTGGAGGTCAGCATGGCTGTAGACAACCCTGGTAGAGCAGAGTAAAGCCAGCAGGCTGAAGCAGCAGGCGGAGGCCATGTAAGCCCTCACACTGTTAGCCAGCTGCACTATCGAGCCGAGGCACATTGCCGGCAGCACCTGCAGGAGATACACAATTACATTTTAAATGGCTGATCAGGATCATTTGCAATGCATTTAAAGGCATAATTGCTCATTTCTTTCACAATGTAATGTTGAAGAGTTTCATTCAATCATTAATATTAGCACTTCTTGTGTCTCAAACAATCACAATTAAAACTATACACTTGTTTTACTAACTTGATTTAACTAGACTTAATTGTTTTGTTTTATTCATTTAGTTGAACATTAAAGGGGTGGTGGGGGTGGATTTTGCTTTTTTTTTGCCTTAACCAATCAGGAGCAACGCATCCTTTCCTATGATAGCTGTTTCTAGGCACAGTTGGTTTTCATAACAGTAGCAGAAATGTGTGCTAGAGACCAATGAAGCCAACGCACAACATGCAACAATGGCAAAGTAAAGCCAGCCCCACAACTGTCATTTTTCAATTTTGCTGTGCTGTCAATTTGTCACATTACATTTTTGACCTAGCTTGAAGAAATTTTGGTTTATTTTTTTTTATTTGTTAGATGGCATTTAGTGGTGAGGGTGAAGAAAGCTGATAATTTGCTAAATGCCAGTTGGCGGTATAGGTCATTAGCTGTCGGTATCAGCTGGTTTTATTCTGTCTTAAAACCCCAAACAGATTTTAAGGTACAGCTACATACTTACAGCTGTGTGTCAGCACTCTCACCCACGCTGTATTTTTTAAGAGCTTTTGGGCAGAGGTGACTGACAGACTCTCTCACATACTGAACAGAAACCTTCGGGCATACAACAGATATCTTGTTGTTTGCTGTTGGGCAAACGCTACACAGTTGCAGAGCAAGAGTTCACAGACACTAGCTGCTTAAGCTGTTTTGGCACTGAGTTTGATGACTTGCAAGATGCACAAACGGTTTTAGACTTGCTAAACAGTGAAAGAGCTGAAGTGAAATAGATGCATATTTTCAACAGTAATATGATCAAAAAATTCAAAACGCTCCTCCAGTGGCATTAGAATAGTACAGCATATTTTGTAATGATTTTCTTGATGTTCTTCCTGTAGCTCATTTAGACATTTAAACATACTATATTTGGCTTAAATCTAGAATTTGCTTCACATTGTACTGTTTTCTTCCTAATAAATAATTAACAATTTTGGTAATTTAAATAAATGATCCACGTTACCTGTGAGAGCAGGTAGGCGCTGTCCAGTATCGCCATGTCAAAACACATCCCTCTTTGTGAGACTGGTGTGCAGTCCGTGTCACCTGTGTCACCTCGGGCCACAAACAGTGAAACATGGGGCAAGCCAACAGCGGGCTCTGCCCCATGTGAAGACAGTCCCCCTGTGTGGCCTTCAGCATGAAGAGTGGCTGGACCACAGGAGATGAGGGGCTCAGTAAGCGCTGCTACATCCACATTTTTGTTAAGCTGAGGAGGTCTGGGCTTGGATGATGTGAAAAAAGCCTTGAAGAGAGAAGGATGAAAGATGAGCAAAAGGATGCAAGCACTAAAATGGAGATCAGTTACTGTGTGTAGTTATGTAGTGGAGAATATATAAATTCTCTTTCTGAGACTGAGAGGAAAAGATCACTACCACTCTCATATCTGTGCGTGAGTACAGCGCTGAAGCACGGAAGTGATTAGCAGCTAGCCCAGTTGTCTCCAGAGATCAAAAAAGATCAAAAATCACTTGCCAACACTTTTCACTAATTAAAACATTGTGTCGCCTTTGTTAATCTGCACACAAACAGAAACATACAAAAGAGAATTGCGCAGTGACTTCCTGGAGTCTTGTTATCACTATGAGAAGGCCAAGAAATAGTTACAACACTCAAAGGTTATACAGTATGTAGATACAGTATGTAGGAGATTTACAACATTAATATAGGAGCAAATAACAATTTGTTATGTAAAGATATAGTGCAGTTATGGTGTCCTGAACAGTTGTCACACTGCCTCTGCCTGTGCTGCTATCACAGCCTCTCTGTGGTTTGCTTACACAGCCAGCCATTTATTTCAACCAAACCAGAGTTGAAACAGTGGAAAGACTAACAAAGATGGTTTTGGTGAATTTTATTAATAGGTAAAATTACTGTTTTTGTAAAAGGAGTCCGGTCGTAGTCGTAGTGCTCATTGTTTTGGTCTGAGATGCTGGTGCTCTAGTGCAACATCTAGTGGCAACTCCCTTAATGCTTGTGAGGTGCTTTTGTACTTTTTCACTTTGATCAGAGCCAGTGTAGCTGTTTTACCCTGCTACCAGTATTTACGCTAAGCTACGCTAACCACATCCTGACTCCAGCTCTGAACGTAATGTAAATATTTAGGACTGGTATTAATCTTATCTAATTCTCAGCAAGAAAGTGAAACTTTAAACTATTCCTTTCCTTTAAGAAGTACTGAAATGTTCAGTTTAGTTGTTCTTAAAGACACTTTGTGTAGAATTGGAAACCTTCTGGTGTCCCTTCAGGTTGGTGTCAAAAAAGAATGTATATTGCTACTTGACATTTAGACCAAAAGACTCAAAGCAACATATATACTGCACCAATTTTAATTTATTTATTTTTTAATTGCATTATATAAATAGTTTTTCTTTAAAGGACAGTGTCTTACTTAAAGTTTCATAAATCAAACGCAGCTTCATCTTTTCTTTAGACTACATAGCTTAGTAAACTCTAATTATATTGACATATATACTCAATATACAAAGTGATCAGCATCAATAGGTGTGAAAACTGACTCTTCCCTGCATGTCTGTATGTAAATGTCTAGTGTGGTTGGGAGATTAACGTACTTGTATATCTGAGTGATAGAGACATAGCAGGGTGTATGGCAGGACCTGAAGGACGCTGAGTGTGTATCCTGTCACAGCCACCATGGCGGTGACCGTTATCACACTTTCTGAGACACTCAGAATGATGGTGGCAAACACCAACAGAGCTACGCCACTGATGTACACCACCCTGACTCCCAGCAGAGCAACCCAGCGGCCCATGAGCACAGAGCACAGCACCGACACCACACACTGTAGGAAGAGACCCAGACTGGCCATACGCACACCTGCACAGACAGGAATGAAGTGGTTATAAGGCAAATGAATCCCATTGGTTGAGTAAAACCTGAATGGGCGGGGCTAAAGAAGCACTTACCCTACCTTCATCATAGTGTTCTCTTTCCTGTGACTGTGGCTTTGCACTCGGAACTCCCTGGTACAATGCCTCCCCCATAAAGTCAGCAAAGAAGAGCATGACGCTCATTAGCGCCATCCAGCTGCACATCTCCGCCACAAACAGTCTCCAGATGACCACTGGCACACACACACACGTTGTATACACTCGAGGGAACACTGACATACATGCTGATGCACATCGGCCCAGCGCCACAAGGTAACGCTGAGGCCGGAGCAGGAGCGAGTGAGGGCAGTATCTGCTGCTCCAGCTTCTCAAAGAGCTGCAGGAGACAGTCTTCCCCTCTCCTCCTCTGGTTCCAGTCTCCTCTGGGATAAAGGCGGTGGTGAAGAGGCAGCTGAGGAAGAGGAAGGTGAGCAGGGCGTAGACAAAGGCCTCTTGCCCTCCCAGGTATGTTGCTATGTGTACTTGGCTCCAGTCCATGGCAGGAAGGAAGAACCTGAATGTAAGTAAGAGTTTAAGATAGAAAATTATGTGCACAGATCTTACTTGATTATATTATTATTCATATGTAATAGCGGCTGTCCAAAGTCTGTCAATAAAGAAAGAAACTGCACCCCCTAGTGGGATTATAAAGAATATACTCAGGCAGACAGATGTGCACACTGCTGCCCCCCATTCTGACAGATCCAACCACATTGGTCCAACCTGAAATATCTCAACTACCAGAGATGGCTTACCATGAAATGATGTCCTAGAGACATTCAAAGTACCCAGAAGTTGGATCTTAATGACTTTGGTGATCCCCTGACTGACGCTTTTTAGTGGCAGAAATATATGCTGATTTTAACAATCAATTACTTGGAAAAGAAAGAAAAGGCCCCAAAAGAAGATATTTGAACTCAAAAATATTAAATTATAGCTTATTAGTAACGCATTGAATAGAATTATCTAAAAGTAAAATTACCTGCAAAACTAAAAGCAGTCCCATCATCCTCTGCACAAATGTTAGCATGCTAGCAATGGTGAACATGGTACCTGCTAGCATTAGTCTCACTTTCTTGTGAAAGTTGGCCCACTTTCGACACCAATTTACCAATTTATTTTTGGTCAAAATGCTCACAAAGTTTCAAAACTAGGTATCCAAACTGGAATGGAGTCAGTTACCTGTTGGTGGAAAAGGCGTAATAGTTTAAAATAATGATGGTCTGGGACCTGCTGTACTCGCTTACCAATATGCCGCCCTAGAGCATCAACTAAATGACTAAAATGTAAGTTCATCTGACAAGTAAGCAGGAAACCGAAGTACAGAAAGCCAAAAAGTGGGCTACATAAGACAACACCATTTGTTTGAATGCACAGAATGAACAGTGTCCCTGAGGCACATCACCTGACAAATGACAAAAGTCAAGTGACGTACAGTGAATAATGGGTGTTCTCCACAGAAGCCGAACAATAAAGCATGCATTCATGAACATGAAAGACAGCAAGTGAGAGACAGAACCAGTTAGGAGAGAAAGGTTTAACAAGTGCCTCACCCCAGGCACCCCCCCAGGCTGGTCATCAGGGAGTAAACTGAGAATGCTCTGTGGTTTTCCTCCTCTGCAGGGAACAGGTCTGACAGCATAGCCGCCAGCAGGGTTAAACAGGCCTGAGGAGTCAACACAAGGCTTATCTGACACCAAATTACAACCAATGTGACAATAAGCAAGCTGATACTAAAACAACAAACAGCAAATCTCAAATTACATTTCAGCAATTTTATAGTTTAAGTATTTTAATTTGAAAGTATTTTGATAGTATGACTTGATAGTATGATGGCTTGCTACCACCCAATGCCACCCCTCTGGATCCGCCCCTGATAAGTGGTATGCTGTATGTCTTAGTGATCTAATTTTCTACAGCAGTGTTCCTCTTCATTTGAGTATACTTAGTAATCCTAAACTGAAAAGGTTTCTTAATACCTTCGTAACAGCTGCCACATGAACAGCAGTGTTACACCCTTAATATATGAAGCACATATACCTTCAATAGATGGTGAATTCAATGTTCAAAATCTACTACTGTGGTATTGTTACTGGGTTTTTTTTGCACATCTGTTACACACATTTTTTTGCAGATTTGTTCTGTTTCGTGTTATCTGTGCTGCTGAGAAACTATTTCAATTCCTTTGTTTCACAATGAAGTTTCCAATATTATGAAGTAAGGTACTTTCTTAAAGGTCTGTGAAACATGAAGGAGGATCTATTGGCAGAAATATAATATTCATAGGCATGTTTTCATTAGTGGTATAATCACCTGAATATAAGAACTGTTGTGTTTTTGTTACCATAGAATGAGCTGTTTTTTAAAGAGGGAACTCTTTACAGTAGCCCAGAACAGACAAACCAAACACTGGTTCTGTTAGGGTCCTTTGGGTAACCTCACCACGAGATACCACTAAATCCTACAAACTGGTTTGTCAATTGTCAAACTAACAATGTATTAACGGATAAATTATTTTGTTTTGGAGTTGTGAACATTAAACATCTGGTTTGCGAAAGCCAGACAGTAACTCACCTGTCCACAGAAGTCCATCAGGCACACACCTCCAGCCTGCAGGGCAGCTTCTAGCCATTGAGGGTGCTGTGGGGACATCAGCACAGCCAGGCGCCAGGCCTGTGGTATGACCTGCAGGCCCAGTAAAACCCCCAGGCTCAGCATCCAGATAAACGGCCGCCGCCGACCAAAATGGCCTCGCCACGAGTCACTAGCTGAGCCAATCATGGGTATAAAGATCAAACCCAGAACTGGACTCAAAGCTGGCAGAAAGAGGCAGCCTGTTAAATTCATTTCATTGGTTCTGAAAACATATTCACTGACCAGTGAGGAATGGGCAGGTAAGACTGGGAAAAACATTTAGGCAGAATTTTCAGCAGCTTGTTAGATAACAGACATGTAGCCTATGCTTCACTAAAAAAATGCTATTTTTGTAGTAGCACGTATGTTCTCTACACCCACAGTAAAAGCCATACAAAGAGTTTGGAACGTTGCGGCTTTTTTATTGTCTTTACAAAATCAAAAATACAAGAGCAGTAGTGTGAGGAATGGATTAAAAAATGTGTTTTTCTGTTTAAACGCAAGCTGCTAACACTAGTATGTCTTGCTAGCTTATTGCCTGGTTAGAGTGGTATCTTAAGCACAATGTCTATGGCAAAGAGCACATTATTAGCTACATGGGGTTAAAGGTTATGTTAGAAAAAGCTCTGTTCGGGACTGACACATCCTCTGCCTGGGAGCCAGTGTAACATCCCAGGTGCTTCTATATCAGAGTTAAGCATACCTAGCCAAACTAATCGGTTGATCCCAAAACATAGAGATAGTCTCCCATACAGTAGATTTCTGAGGAGTGATTGTGAAGTGTGGGTGGAGCTAAGGCGGGCCAAATGAAGTCTGGTTAGTGAAATCAACCACCTGTGACGGCACCCACCTTTCACTCAAAGTGATCACGCCCTTAATTATGCATAACTTTGAGCCCTAATATAATTTACAGTTATCGTGAACAAGAATTTAAGCTACAGAAACCAAAACACCTATACCAGGCTGGAAAGGTTAATTTTGGCTGTGAAGTTGGGCATTTTGACTTATGAAGATTGACTCGCTTTTGGAGCCAGCCTTAGGTGGCTGTTTGAGGAACTGCAGTTTTCAGCCCAGGAAGTGTCCACTTGGTTAGCCCTAATCCTCAAAAATATTTTCTTGTGAAAAACTGTTGTCCCTGTTTTTGTCTCTAGACCAGAAACCAAACAAGCCATTTAAAACTATAAGTTGATGCAGAGCCACTGAGAAAATGAAGGAACTATATAATAAATAATAAAATAGATATTAATTATATGATAATTTTAAGCTGTTGATAAATAATGAGTAAATTCTTAGGAGAAGTTCTGTTGCTGAGAGATACTAACCTTTACTGTTACAGTGATAATAGACAACCTATAGCCTTTATCACCATAAGAGGTACTAAGTGCATTATTGAATACCGTCTCCTACAATGTCCTGAAATAACTTCTGTTATGAATTGGCGCTATACAAATAAAACTGTATTGAATTGAATTGAATTAAATTGCAAGTAAAACATATATAAAGATTTTCTTAATTTAAAGCCATGAGTGCGTTATCCTCACCTTTGTATTTTCATCCTATGTCCTACAATGCAGAACTTTTCAGTCTGTAGTTTTATGAATATTTAAATGACAAGAATGTTCTTGTTTCCTTAATTGACTCTGATATGACATTCTATTATTATATTATTACATAATTGTTAAGTTTCAAGCTCAGCCACATGAACACGGGGAGAACGTAGAACAGAGAACAGAAGGTCCCAGCCAACTGTACTGCACCGAGGACTGTGAGGCCACAGTTCTAACCGCTGCCCCACCGTGCTGTAAGATAATTGTCAGTACAAATACAATAACTGCTTCTGTCTTGCAGTGTCAAGTCATGCCCATTAACATCCAGTCCACCCATGGTCACTGAGTGTATATGGTTCATCAACTTACCGAGCACCATAGTCATGTAGCGTTCCTCCATGCCGGCCTGCAGCAGTAGAGGTGGGATATAGACGGTTCCTGCAGCCATGCATGCCTCCACGCCACATGATAAAGCGTTCACCATTAACAACTTCCACACCCGGGCCTGTGACGGATTTTCCATTTTGGTTTGTTCCCCCTGCCTCCTTTTGAACCACCACTCCTTTCTTTTTTTACTGTCTCGTTTGAATGTAATATCTTTGGTGTGCACAGTATTTAGTCCTAATATGAAATAATTGGTACATGTCAGTGAATAAAAGGGCTTCCCAGAGGGGTTTTGGCTGGTTGTCAGATTTGGAAGATTTCCATGTCATGATGTGTTGTGCAAGAGACGTCGAGAACTTTCTTTATGTTCCTTATTATTTTTTTCAGCTTTAGTTGTTGTTCTGCAAGAATGAACAACGCTTCCCGTCCCAGGCCAACTTGTGGACATCTTCTGCCAGAGTGGTGTCTTCCTGGGAAGTTCAGACAGAGAGAAGCACTGTCTGGTCTGCTGTAATTACAGCGGGCCTGGGAGATGGAAAAAAAAGCACCTTTGATTTATGAAGTCATTTTCAGTTGGATGAAGATTGCAAACAGTGAAGTTGTATCAGAATTAAACCTCTTATGTTATTTCTAAAAAGCGACTAGTGATAAATTAAGCAACTTATTCGGACCATCAGGGAAAAAGTGAGAAACACATTAAAATGTATTATATTGTAATTTATCCCCATGCATGCTCTTCAGAGTAATCGCAGTCTACGGCTCTTCTGCCAACAGCGCCGGAGTCTCTCTCTCTCCTCTTGTGCCGGCAGTCAGAAAGTGTGGCATGTGGGACACGTTTGACCTTCTCTCACTCTTTCTCTCCATCTCTGGATTAGGGGGTTTCTATAGCTTATATGTAAATAGTTAAATAGTTAATTTGACCTTCTCCACCCCTTTGTACAACCCTTTCCCTTCAAATATACAATTTCCCTGTGGTGAGTTTGTGATTATTTGGAAAAATAATTATGTTAAAAGTGTGAAACAAAAGCTGCTTACCTGCAACTCTAAAGCTAGCTGACTGGGACCAGTAACTTCCTGGAGTTTCCCACTAGTTGACAGCAACCTCCAGAGGTTTTCCAATTATCTTACTGACATTTACACCTTTAATTAACATCCATTTTCCTGGTTATATTTACACGTGGCAATGACGTGCATAAATTGGCTCACCTGTCATTGGTAGGCATTATAGATGACTCACTACAATTTGTATTCTCAATTCATTACACACCCTGATCGGCGGTTGGTTGAGTCTCAGGATGATGAATAGCACCTTTAAGCTACAGACAAAAGCAGGTGTTGAGGTGTTCGGGGCTGTGAATATACCGTAAATGTGTTAACTACATGTTGCTGACACAGTAACAACACTGACAAAGTTTAACGTTAATCCTGAGAATGAGAGGCTCCATTAATATTTCCTGATCTGGAACAGTATATGCAACCAATAGTGAGCCATATAGACACAGAAAAACACTTTGTTTCACACATACTGAGTGGAATTACTTTATGACAACTCATCATCAGTTGCTAATCTTTCATCTAACACCCTGTGTGTTGTTAAGTTCAGTTACTCATTAAACAAGAGGCTCCTGTTTCTGTTAAACATTCATTCTCAGATGCACTATTAAGCATTAAGTGATAAGCCACTGAGTTGCTTCCCTTGCCTCATAAAAGCTCTCTGATCTCTCAACAAGGAACGAAAGTGGCTACTAGAAGTGCCAGCAGCAGCTCACCCAGTGCAATCACAACTTCCCTCTAAAGCTCGGTGGTGTGTGGCAGCATGTGTGTGAGACGATCCCAGGACACACACTCCTGCCAACAGGTGAGGACCTTCTGGCTCACTGGGGAACAGAGAAGATTAAAGGAACAGGTTTCTATCATGCTTTATGTGAAACTTGTGGGCGGGCCTTCTGTCTTATAATGGGATATCAGTCATCCTACACTTTGAGGGTTTGGTCTCACATGTTACGTGAGGTGTTTATTTTATGCCTTTCCCAATTCCAGCACAGAGCCTGACCTTTTCATTCACGTGATTTATTTAGAAAATGTTTAGTTTTGTTTCTTTATAGGTATTTTTCTCACAGGTTACATTAAAGATTTCAAATTAAGTGTATTAAAGTAACATTTAGGAGGATCTTTTTGGCAGAATGGAATATAATGTTTCATAGGGACGTTTTATTTATATAGTGTGTAATCACCTGAATATAAAGAATCATTGTGTTTTCGTTACCTTAGAATGAGCTGTTTTTATCTAGATGCCACAGGTCACCTTCCATGGAGTACCACATGTTGGACCGCCATGTTTCTACGGTAGCCCAGAACGGACAAACCCCCTAGATAGAGCCTTCCATGTTATTTGCAACCCCCATAGTTTCTCCTACAATTTTCAACAACTCATTCTGATTCCCAGGTCATTAAATACTACTGTATACATATCAACAGGAGCAAGTTCTACCATTTTCTGGTAGGTCTTGACGTCTAAAACATTATAGGACAGCCTATAGAAATCACAAACGGCACACTACCCATGATGCAATAGACCATTATAATCAACCATATCCTGCTAGTAAAAACTACCAAGGAGCCATTGTAACCAAGCGAGCCAGGCAAAAACTGTAAGCTTTTATATCGTGTTGTAAACAGTACTGACTGTGTTGGCAGTGAACAGCAGATGGTGATGAATAAAATCAGATTTACTCACTTTGTTGTTCAGAGCATGATGACCATGTTGCCGGCTGGTTTCAGGACTTGTATCTGCCCCAGGCTGACCTAAAATATCACTTAGCTTTGTGTTTGTGTGTGCAACACTCAGAGTAAAGTGTTAACACGCCAGCAATAAAAAGTGCTGAAGAGCTTCCACTCTACATACACAAGATGTAGGAAAGGAAGTACAGAGGACAGACACATCTTCACACATGAGGAGACAGTGTGAGTTCTCATTGGGTCATTATGTCCCCCCCCCACTGGTGATAATTTGAAGAAGTCTCAGTTACCTTCTGACTTGTACTTTGAATATTGACAATACTATTTGTAATTGATGGTGTACACTGTCTTCAGGTTTTTTAAACACCAGAGTATGAATCAATAAGGCACAGAGATATTGTCTTTTTTTATTCCACGTTTTTCTTCCTTCTTAAAATCTGGTTGCAACTGGACCTCTGACAGTTCAGTGAGAAATTCAGGTGTGTTATGGTAGCACGTTGGTAGATTGGTAGTATTTTTTGTTTGATACCACTTTAAACTACCCCTTTATATGCCATTCAAATAAAAACCCAGTGCAAAATAATGGCAAAGGTCAAAGGAGCCCCCAAATGCGTGAAAAGTGTTGATTAGAATAGAGCAGAGTTCCATTTGTTGTTTGGCTTCAAACGATGATATAAGGCAATGTACAATGCAATGTATCAAACTTCACACAGCTGCATGCAACTTTTTTCACATGTGAAGTAGTACTCCCCAACGCAAACGATGTGTAAAACTGCTGTACTGTAGTTCCCCTTTAAAGCTGCGGTAGGTAACCTTTATAAGAAACTTGCTGAAACGTTCACTATATCCTGACAGTAGAACGCGACACAGATAATCTGTGAAACAATCAGGTTCCTCTGGCTCCTCCTAGTGCTCCTAATGGCATTTGCAAGAATCCACCGGGCCTGAACGAAAACAACCAATCAGAGCCCAAGAAGCATACAGGAACTTTTGGGTTGGCGGCCTTGAGATAGATGAAGTTGATCTCAATTCAACACTATCTTTCTGGCTCTGATTTGATTGTTTTCGTTCACCACCCCATGGGGTTATGTAGATACCATTAGGGGCACTAGGAGGAGCCAGATTTTTTTTATTTCCTTTTTTTTTTTCTTTTTTTTACAATTTTTCACAGATGATCTGTCTCATTTTCTAGTGTCAGGATAGAGTGAGAGTTTCAGCAAATATAAGAAAAGGTTTTTAAAAAAATTACAAACTGCAGCTTTAAGATTGTTTTTTTCCTTCTATTTTTACCTAGCTCTACTTTTTTATATGTTTTTCACTTAATCTTATACTGTCTTTTTTTATATTTTTAAATTCATTTCTTTAATAAAAGCTTTTTATTTATAAAATAAAATAACCTTGTTTTTTTAACCTTTGGAGTGTGGCCTTTATATGATAAAAACATGGAGGAAATACAAACATTTGCATGCAGACATACAGGGGTCCAGATTGAGAATGAAAAGTTGAAAAAAGGTGTTAATGGGGATATCAGCTGTCCAAGTTTAGCATGACTCTGTACAGTTTGATATAATCTTCTTAGGGATCAAGTTCTGCATTGTTTGAGAGTTGTTAGTAAACCCATCTGAAATGGGTCTCTTCATGAGATCAAAAGACTGCATATAAAAACAGTGCCACTGAGTGGCAGACACCGAGTATTACCGATCATTCTAAACCACAACCGCACATTCCAGAGCTCAACGTCACAAAACAAGTAGTTAAATCCGTATAAAAAGTAGGTTGCCTTTATTAGAAGCTGGGAAACCAAAACATTATCAACATCGTCGTTGTTAATACTTTTAAGACCACAATATTGCCATCACCAGCATCATCATCATCATCGCTTCGCACTTTTTCCACAACATGCAAAAGATTCAAGAGTTCAGCGTTCCTTTTCCACACTACTGACAAAAGCTTCTCCACTTGGTCTCCTGTAGGAATCACAACTTGGCTTACATTTACATTGCCAGTACAACTGAAGGTAGATAGAAAAAAAACATCAAAAACAGTACAACAGAAGAAATCGTAGAATGGATGAAAGAGGAGAAATTCACAGCCTTATGCCATGTGCCCCCCCTGTGGGATGATGGGAGAGGACCCTCGTTCAAGCCCTCATCGCTGTGATCTACAGACAGTATCTGATCCTACTGCAAACAGAGCTCTCGGAGCTTTAGATTGGTATAAACAAACTTTTTTTTCCTATTTATTTTTATATTCATATCCAATCGTCTGAAAATGACATTAAGTATTGGGTGCCAATTCAGGACCTGAACGTAGAAAAACACACTAACCTGCTAATAAGGACAGTTGTAAAACAATTGAATGTGCTTCTGAACCGAGGACTAAGTTCGAGTGCGTCCTGTTACACATCCAGGACTCATCTCTATTGCAGCCTTGGGACCAATCAGAATTTCTCCTGACGAACGCCTAATAATGAATTTATGTTCCCAAGATCACAATAGCATCTGTTTTCTTCTTATTTTTTTGCTTTGACATCAAAAAACACTACTTATCGCAAAAAAGGACAATCTCACAAGTGCTGCACCTGATCTCCGAGTCACTAGTTTTGAGATCGTTTATGGCTTTGGATGGTCTGCTGATCATACAAATTGTTGACTTGTCCTAAGCCTAATTTGCCGCTTGTAGCAAAGACCTAAAAGATGAGGACAGGTTACATTCTCAGGCCTCCAACGACATTATCAGAGCCACTACTGAAACCGAACTCAATGAAAATTAAGGCATTAAAAAGACAAATGGACGCCAGATATAAACGTAGCTACTGATCTTCTCTGAGCCTCAGTACTGTAGAATTCTGAATTGAAAGAAGTATCCATCTTGTGAAATACTAATGGATGGACGAAAAGCTCTAAGAAACAAATGGACATGGATACCAACAGTAACCATTAAGATGATGGGACTGGGAGAGGTGGGGGAGGGGTAGAAGAGAAAGGACAGGAGTAAATAAGGGAGGGGTGGCTGGTCCAACCAGGCAGAACAGATTGGATAGGGTCAACTTTTTTTCTTTAAAATCAAGATACATTTTATTTCTTTTCTTAAAAAACAAACATTACAAAAAAAATCTGAATAGAGAATTAGAACAATGAACCAACAGGAGAAAAACGACATTCATTTTTTTTTAACTCTCAAAAGAAAAAAAAAGAAACATCTCTTCTTGCATTTCATTTAAAAATAACAAAAAGATTTAGCGGCGCCTGGCACAAGGGGTTGAATGTTGAGAAGATGCTGTAGCCATGCGGGGGGAGGTGGGGGTTTTGAAAGGGGCGGGGTTGCTTCACGTAGCATGGTGCATCGTTAAAAAAGCCCAACATACAACAACAGAAACCGTTTCACATAGGCAGCTGATGGGCTGACAGAAGGGGGGGAAATAGCCAGACCCTTACAGGAAGTACCCCCACAAGCACACAGATTGAATCAAGTACATAAAAACACACACATGCTGGCCTGAAAACGCGCGATAGTGACAGTTCGGCGTGTAGCAAACACTTAGCGGTGACCCGCCGCTCCGCCCGTGTACGGCACGCGCCTTTAACAGTTTGAACTGATCTACGAAGCAGCAGCTACAAGTGGAATACTTTACAAAATAACGCGCTTTATCGAATCCTCCACACAGATGCACAATAAGAGTTGAGGGCAATGAAATAGTGTGAAAGAAGCGGTGTGATCTTTAAAAGTAAAATTAAAAAGACGCTGCTTTAACTGAAAGAAGATTTTTAAAGGTTTTAAAACAACCTCCTAACTAACTGCCCTGTTAAAAAATGCTCCTGGTTTAAAAGCACAAAGTACCAAAGAGAGGGTGAAGGCTTCTGCCCTGCGTGTGTTGACTCAATGTCGCTTTGTAAATACAGCGCTTTAGTTACTGATACTGAGAGGCTCTGAACAATACTCCCTGTGATCGCAGATATCAGTCAGATAAACAGGGAAAAGGTGTGTGTCAGATAATCCTAGGGGAGGAAAAACACAAGTGAACTGGTTCGTTCACACTGAGGACGGATGTTCACTAGCGCTGAGCTCTTGGAAAGGCTTGTCTGGATTTTCACACTAAAATGCAGAATGTGAATGATAAAGACCGGAGGCTGGGTAAGGCTGAATGTTGTGACTCTGGTGCTGAAAATGGAAAACTCCTCACATACACCGTATGATCACATGAGCACAATGTCTTGGCTGGAGGGGGGCGGGGGGGAGGGGAGCAAAACAAGAAAAATAGAAAAAGCACACCCAGTCCAAACCAAATGAACCAGGCCACCAGGAAAAAAAAAAAAAAAGAAACAGAAAAAACAAAATAAAAAACAAAAACAACTCTAAACGCAGAGCAACAAAAGAAAACAAAAACGTTGAGAAGAGACAGAGAGAGACATGGAGGATGGGCTTCAGCGGGTACCATCTTCTAGTCTTCTCCAGAGGGTGCCTCCTCTTCCGAGCCGTCCTCCTCCTCTTCGTCTTCATCCTCCTCGTCTCCTCCTGCGGCCTCCTTTGTCGTCTTGGGGGCGGGGGAGGTCTCTTTCTTCTCTGCCTCCTCCTCCTCTTCCTCCAAGGGACTCTCGGGGTCCTCCTCTTCCTCCTCTTTGGGTGAGCTCTTCTCCAGGGCCTTGGCGCTGGGGCGCCCCTTCCCCTTTCCTTTCATTGGGCTGGGGGTCACTGAGGGGGAAAAAAGACAGTCAGTCAGTGACCATCTGATTGTTGTTTAATCCCACTACTGCATAAATATATAGTTTTAATACAAAATGACCTTCAATTCCTATCCTTACTGCCTGTGTTGCTATCGCAGCCTCTCTGTGGTTTGTTTACAGCCAGTCTGCTCCGTGTGCAGCTGTGACTAAAACCGCCTGTTTTATCATCTACGCTGGTAAATTTAGGATTTATTAGTTGGTGGTTGTTGGAACAGTGGAAAGACTAACAAAGACTGTTTTGGTGAGAATTTTGTAACTAAATGATGTTACAATGACACGCAAGGTAAAATGACTGAATGGAGTCTGGTGGCGAGCGATGGCAATATTACAGCTGTTTGTGGTTAAACAAAAGGTCACTCTGTAGGGATCCTTTCCATAATGTCAGACACTTCTAGAACAATCTGAGCCTGTAAATGGCAGAAACAAACACTTTTAGTGGACATACTTTGACCGGCACATTTGTCCCAATGGATTAATATTAGCTCACACTGTGGCCATTGCAGCCCTTTTCACAATGAACGGAGGGTTTATTTCACCCAAATAAGAGTTGGTGATTGTTGGAAAGACGGTTTTCGTGAGTGAGGTACTGTGTGAAACAATTGTTTGATCAGACAGTAGTTACACTATGTTCTGAAACAAGAGATTACATGTTAATTAGTGTGCTTTAGAGGTACTGGATTTATTCATTTCTTACTTTGGACAGAGTCAGACTAGTTATTTCTTCCCAGTTTCCAGTCTTTATGTTAAGCTAAGCTAAGTGTATCCTGGCTGGAGCGTCACATTTAACACAGGCATAAGAACTGTTATCAATCTTTTGATCTAATTTTAGAACAGAAAACAAATTTCCTAAAATGTCAAACAATCCTTTAATGCACCACATCTAACACAAAGCTGAATTTTGATAGAAAAAATGTTGACCCGAAGTTGATTACTCAAGAAAGTTATAATTCATAAAAAAGAAAAAGATTTGCATTTGAGTGAATGAAATGTCATGTTCCATGGTATAACACGCTCCTCTTTACCCTAACAAATTCTCACGGTTTTACTGAGCCTCTTAGAGATGTCCCGAGCCCATCTGGGTATATTTTAATGATTCGGCCACAATAAAACCGATCACTGAACTCCACTGTGTTTTGTCCACCGCAGCCTGCTAGTGTTGCAAAGCTGCTCTCCTTTAGCAGACAGTTCTGTTTGTGGAAAACACTGTGTGGATGTGAAAACTGATTTGGGCCCCACCACTCAGTGACTCTGAGTTTAGACACACACATTGAATCATGGATGGACCTTTTCTCTGCTTCTCATTAGCAAAGACCAGCGTGCAAAATATTCAGGGAGCAGTTTCTCACTTTTAGCCGACGCTAATAAACACGTCACCAGTTAAACCACCAGTAGATCCATCCGCTGTGCAATTAACTGGTTGGCCAAAGAACGTTTGTGAGGAAGAAGCACCACTCTGTAACACCTCTGTGCAACCACGAGTGGACTGAGTGCTTCTGTTGTCCCAACAGAGTGAGACGTCTTCTCTCACTGATCGCATCATGTCAGTTTCAGGAGTGGTATTCTCCATTTAAACTGTCATTCATATCATATTAATAATTTAAGCTTGTTAGTTTAGTAGGTTTAAACCAGGGCCTTCAGTATTTGGATCAAACAGCTCATGAAAAATGTCTCCCAGATGAGGCCTACGCCTGTTATTTCAATGTGTTGAATCAGGGCCAAAAACCTCAGGATGGAGACATCTCTAAAGTCTGCTGTCATGTAAGAAAAGATATATGAACATTTCAAACCACTGGCTTCAAACATAATTACATCTCCATTTTTCAAGAAAGGAGGTAACAGTTTTAGCATACTAGCTTGCATTCCATCAAATTGAAATTGTTACTAAACATCACAGGTGGGACAAATGTGCCTCAGTATGTCATTCCTTAGAGTTATCAGGTATAAATTCCCTTTAAAATGAATTTGGATTTAAAATGAACTGACTGAATTGCAATCTGTACTGTCGGTTGGCTGAGAGGGCAGAAACAGTGGAGTGGCAGCCTAATTATTGTTCACAACCCATAGATAAAACCTGAGAACGAGATGAGCAGCAGAACATATGAAATGTTGATTCAATCTGACACTTTAGAGTACCAGCTGCAGCCTACTTACTTTGCACCACTTTCACAAGCCACCTGATCCGCTGCTCGAGGTCGTGATTCAGAACCACTGCGTTGTTTAGCTTAAATTAGTGACACGGTTTCTGCAGGTTTCAATAGGTTCCATTCAAGACTTTTTACCTCTTTTAAAAAGACCTTTTACAGGCCATTACGAATGCAATTTAAGACGCATGTCACATTCATACTGGCAAAAAAGCCATTCTACTTTTTACCCAAAAATTGACATTGGTTAATTGTTGACTCGGTGTACTATAACATGGGCTAATTTCCGCCTCCAATAGTTTCATAACAAACTTTAAACTTTTACACTTCTAACATTGCGTTTTGTGCCATTGTAAAGCATCACTTGCAGAATTGTGTGGAAACGAGTAACATAACTGAAGAGAAAAGCAAGGTGATTTAAGTAGTGAAATAAGTAAAGATATACAGCTAATAAGGGCTAATGTATTTTCGATAGATAAATCCCAGTTGCAGCTGCAGAAGGACTGGACCTCTCACCTGTAGCCTTTAGTCGGGGTTTGGGGCTTTTCTTCTCCTTCTTCTCCGGCCGTCCTCGTCTAATCACCTTCTTGCCTCTCTTCTTGGAGTGACCATAGTCACTGTCATCATCATCCTCCACCATGAAGTCCTCATCGCTGCCGGACTCGTCGGCTAGACACAGAAACAGGCTGCATAAGACTCATTTCAACACAGATGCCCTGCTGTGCAGCAGTCTACAGAACTGTGGCACTGCTGATGAACCAACGCGAAGCCAATTTCCTGTTCTACCATAGCCTCTACAGCTTACATACAGGGGGCCTGCAGTTTGTCACCAGGTAGAATAAAGAGCAATTTCATGTTCATTTCATGAGTGATTTCTTTCTCTGATTGTTTCATTTGAATGATGTGAAGTATGTAATGTTTTACAAGAAAAGGCAAAAAGTTCAAAGAAATTAATATTCTGTAACAAAACCATCTTTTTCTTTCTTATCCCTTTAATCATCTGGGGAACCTTCAGATTAGTTGGGGATCTAAAAAAAAAACATCATTTTAGGGCTTCAGTTAATCTACCTTAAGAATCTGCAAACACCACAAACCACACATTAGACATTTCCGGCTGCTTTCTATGAACCATGTGGTTACGGCATGAGTTGCTCTGTCAGTGTACAGTTGTACATACGGTCCAGATAGGGTTCCTCTTGGTCTTCGTGCTCCTCATCCTCGCTGCCTCCATCGCCCAGCAGGATCTCCCTCTGTTTGGACACGGCCTTAGAGGCCGCCTGGCGCACCGTACGCTTTCGACTCACTTCTTTTTCATCATCGCTGTCATCTACGCAAAGGACACACAGTTGCATAATGATTCATAACAGGTAAAAAAAACGTACAGTAAACAAAGAGGGCGATATAAATTATTTTGATGTGTTTTAACACCACTGAATTACTGACCGCCCCCACTAATGGTGTAACATATTACACACTTTCATTAAGGCTATAAGAAAACTAACTGGATGTTCAGTGTGTTGGAATTTCTATCAATGTGATTCATTGTTAAGCACTTCCCTGCTGCTCTTTTTTCCAATATGTCCATCATGACAAAGCTCTTCTGGTTCTGTCTGTCTTTCTGGATCAGTTTATGCATGTGAGAGTTGGCCATGTCTGCTTTTCTGACAGTTTTAGAACAAAAGCATTGTGACACAGGCCCCCTAAATGATTATCATCATTAGACATCATCATTATGTGACATCCTAACTAATATCTTGTTTTATATGGCCATCATCTCAAACCCCAAAGTTATTCAATTTAAAATTATATAAAAGCAGCAAATCCTCACAAAGCTGTAACCAGCAAATATTTGGCACGTTTTGCTTGATAATGCTTTAAGATGAACTGATTCTAAAACTTTTTGCAGATTCACTTTCAGCCTGCTCTACTTCCCATATCAGACCTTCTTAAGGGGCTTTTCTCTGCTTTCACATTGTCCAAACTACACGTCTGATGATGCATTCCTATTATTGGTAACTTTAGATGCTCTGCACAATACAGAATTTGTATACCTAAATATAGACCATTCTAGCTCATGTTTCCTATAGCTTTGAGAGTTTGGTGAAATTGGGGAAAATTATCCTATTGGGAGCAGTCATTCTATTAACCAGGGGGTATATTCTAACAAAGCCAAGCAGGACTGGGTTACAATGCCTTTAAAAAGGCACATATACCACCATGATGTGTAATGAAAAGCCACAGTGAAGCACTGCAGGTGAGTTGTTTTTGCTGTGTAGGACATTTGAGGCCCCATACTGCCAGGTCCACTGCAATTACTGACAGTACACACATTGTTCCTGTAGAGGTTAATTATTCATTTGGCTGCTGATGAGGCAGAAATATAAAAATAGTTATTTTGGTGATTTAAAAAGGTCCAGTGTGTAA